TTCTCTCCTGCCCCTTGGAGGAAGTTTCTGTGCTTCCTATTGAAAGCCAGTCCTGTGGCCAGGCACGGTGGCTGACGCCTGTGATCCCAGTACTTTGGGAGGCCGAGGTAGGTGGATCACTTGAGGCTAGGAGTTCAAGACCAGGCTGGCCAACACGGCGAAACCCCGTCGTGGTGGCGCATGCCTGTAATCCCAGCTACTCGGGAGTCTGAGGCAGGAGAATCGCTTAAACCTGGGGTGGTGGAGGTTGCAGTGAGCTGAGATTGCGCCGTTGCACCCCAGCCTGGGCAATAAGAGGGAAACTCCATCTGAAAACAAAATTTTTTTTATTGAGGCGAAGTTCACATAATATAAAATGAACCGTTTAGAAGTGTACACAACTGGGCAAGGTGGTTCACACCACCAGCACTTTGTAATTCCAGCACTTTGAGAAACCAAGGCGAGAGGATCACTTGAGCCCAGGAGTTCAAGACCAGCCGGGGCAACATGATGGGACCCTGTCTCTACAAAAACTTTAAAACTTAGCCAGCTGTGGTGATGTGAGCCTGTAGTCCCAGCTACTCAGGAGGCTGAGGTGGGAGGATCGCTTGAGCCTGGGAAGTGGAGGCTGCAGTGGGCCATGAGTGCGCCACTGTACTCCAGCCTGGGTGACAGTGAGAGCTTCCTTCAAAAAAAAAAAAAAAAAAAAGTGGTATTCAGTACATTCACAGTGTTATATAAGCATTGCTTCTACTTAGTTCCAAGACATTTTCACCCTCCATCTCTCTCTCTCTCTCAGTCCCTGGCACCACTAATTTACTACACCTTTTTTTTGTTGTTGTTGTTATTGTTGTTGTTGTTTTCTTTTTGAGATGAAGTCTCACTCTATCGCCCAGGCTGGAGTGCAGTGGCGCAATCTCAGCTCACTGCAAGCTCCTCCTCCCAGGTTCACACCATTCTCCTGCCTCAGCCTCCCAAGTAGCTGGGATTACAGGTGCCCGCCACCACGCCCAGCTAATTTTTTGTATTTTTAGTAGAGACAGGGTTTTAGTGTGTTGGCCAGGCTGGTCTCGAACTCCTGGCCTCAAGTGATCTGCCTGCCTCGGCCTCCCAAAGTGCTGGGATTACAGGTGTGAGTCACCACGCCCGGCCTAGTGCTGCCTTAGGACCCACGATCCTAAGGCCACATGCTCTGATCCCCTGTGTGGGTGAAGAGCCCATGGGGTTGGGAACACGTGCTTCCTTGGAGCCCCCACCTCCCCTTCTGGGCCATGCTGTAGTGCCAAGGCCCAGAATTCCCTGCTGAAGTGACCTGAACCACTTCCGGGGCATGCGCAGGCATCTTCCTTGGCTGGACAGCACCACTGCTGTGCATATCTCCAGGCTCAGCGGATGGCCCGGGACCCGGCACTGGAGTTGAGCGGGAATGGAGCATGGAGGTGCCTGCCGGGACATCTATCACATGCACACCAAGACCCTCACTGGGTGCAACAGGGCCAGGTGGTGTAGACATTTCTTGTGGCTGCTATAACAAATTTCTACAATCTTAGTGGCTTCAAAGAACATATTTTTTAAAATTTATTTTTATAGTTATGGAGGTCAGAAATCCAAAAATAAGTTTTATGGGACTGTATTAGGGTTCTCCAGAGGGACAGAACTAATAGGATATTAGTCGATATAAAGGGAGTTTACTTTATTTTTGTTTAAATTTATTTATATTTGTTTATTTATTTTTTATTTTTTAATTTTTTCTGAGACAGAATCTCACTCTGTCACCCTGGCTGGAGTGCAGTGGCACAATCTCAGGTCACTGCAACCTCCACCTCCCAGGTTCAAGCAATTCTCCTGCCTCAGCCTCCCGAGTAGCTGGGACTACAGGCACATGCCACCACACCCGGTTAATTTTTGTATTTTTAGTAGAGACGTGATTTCACCATGTTGGCCAGGATGGTCTCGATCTCTTGACCTCATGATCCACCCACCTCGGCCTGCCATATAGCTTTCCATAGCTATCTAACAAACCACTACAAAACTTAGTGGCTTAACAATGACATTATTTTGCTCAAAAATATGCAATCTGAGCAGGGCTTACTGGGGATAGCTCATCCCAGCTCCACTCAGCATGAGGTGGGGGGACTTGGCTGTGGGCTGAAACCATTGGAAGGCTCACTCACTCATCACATGTCTGGTGATTGATGCTGACTGGCAGCTGGGACCTCAGCTGGGACGGGGCCTAGAACCTCTGCACATGGCCTCTCCATGTTGCTCGGGCTTCCTGAGAGCATGGTGGCTGGGTAGCATGGGTACTTATCCCTAGCATGACCTAACTGTGGAAATCACACAGCGTCACTTCTGCCACATTCTGCTTGTTACAAGTGGGTTGGTAAGGTTGGCCTATTCTGAAGGTGTGGGAAATTAATTAGTCTCTGCCTTTTGATGAGAGAAATGTCAAAGAATTTTCAGACATTTAAAAAACCACCAAAGGACTGAGTGTGCTGGTTCATGCCTATAATCCCAACACTTTGGGAAGCCGAGGCAGGAAGATCGCTTGAGCCAGGGAGTTTGAGATCAGCCTGGGCAACATGGCAAAACCCTGTCTCTACTAAAAATACACACACAAAAAAAATTAGCTGGGCGAGGTGGTGCTTCTCTGCAGTCCCAGCCACTCACAAGGCTGAGGTGGCCACGAGAATCACCCAGGCCAGGAGGTCGAGGCTGCAGTGAGCCGTGATCATGCCAGGCCTGGGCGGCAGGAGTGAGACCCTGTCTCTAAATAAATACATAAACCACCAAAGGTTTGAACATGGCTGCATAGTCTGGGTAACCTACCCTTACCTGAATTTTCCCAAAAGGCTCATTTAATTGTAACATGCTATTGACCTGTAAGGCACGGTGGCTCACACTTGTAATCCCAGCATTTTGGGAGACCAAAGTGGGCAGATTACTTGAGGTCAGGAGTTCAAGACCAGCCTGGCCAACATGGTGAAACCCCGTGTCTACTACAAATACAAAAATTAGCCAGGCGTGGTGGCGCACACCTGTAATCCCACCTACCAGGGAGGCTGAGGCGGGAGAATTGCTTGAGCTTGAGAGGCAGAGGTTGCAGTGAGCCGAGATCACGCCACTGCACTCCAGCCTGTGCAACAGAGCGAGACTCTGTCTCAAAAACAAAACCCAGGCCGGGGCACAGTGGTTCACGCCTGTAATCCCAGCACTTTGAGAGGCTGAGGCAGGTGGATCACAAAGTCAGGAGATCGAGACCATCCTGGCTAACATGGTGAAACTCCGTCTCTACTAAAAATACAAAAAATTAGCCAGGTGTGGTGGTGGGCGCCTATAGTCCCAGCTACTTGGGAGGCTGAGGCAGGAGAATGGCGTGAACCCGGGAGGCAGAGCTTGCAGTGAGCCAAGATCCCGCCACTGCACTCCATCTTGGGCAACAGAGCGAGACTCTGTCTCAAACAATAGCAACAACAACAACAACAAACAAAAAACAAATATGCTATTGAGCAGAATATAAGGCTCTTCAGAATGCATGTCAATGCCTATAATATGATTGTTGTTTTTACGTTTATTGGAATGAGGACTAGAACAGTCAGAGAAGCTTCCTGCTGAAAGCTTAGCTCCCAATGGAGAGATGCCTCCAAGCCTGAGAAAAAGTCATGGTATAGCAACTTTGGGTATAATTGTTTTGGAGCGGAGAATGATAGGCAAAGAATTTCAAGGATGGACAGAGGTCCCAGGCCCTATGCCAGGAAGCAAAAACCGTGAGTGATGGGCTCAGATTCAAGGAACATGACTCATGTAATTATACAGGAAAAAGGAAGAAGAGTATGAACCTTAGAAAGAAGGAATTGTGTCTATTCTGCAGAGATGATGTTGTTACTGATAGAGGGTCTTGACTGCAAGTTGTCTAGGTTATTGGTGTTTTGAACAAAGAATTGGACAAAACGCACAGCAAAGCAAGGAAAGCAGAGATTTATCAAAAGTGAAAGTACACACCACAGTGTAGGAGCAGGCCCCAGCAGCTGCTCAGGGGCGCCAGATACAGAATCTTCTCAGGTCCAAATACCTCCTAGAGGTTTCCCATTGGCCACTTATTGTTGTTTATTTATTTATTTTCAGATGGAGTCTCACTCTTGTCTTCCAGGCTGGAGTGCAATGGTGCGATCTTGGCTCACTGCAACCTCCACCTCCCAGGTTCAAGCGATTCTCCTGCCTCAGCCTCCCAAGTAGCTGGGATTACAGGTGTCTGCCACCACACCTGGCTTACTTTTGTGTGTGTGTGTGTGTGTGTGTGTATGTGTGTGTGTGTATATATATATATATATATTTTTTTTTTTTTTTTTTGAGACAGAGTCTTGCTTTGTCACCCAGGCTGGAGTGCAGTGGCTGGATCTCAGCTCACTGCAAGCTCCTCCTCTCGGGTTCACGCCATTCTCCTGCCTCAGCCTCCGGAGTAGCTGGGACTACAGGCACCCGCCACTTCGCCCGGCTAGTTTTTTGTATTTTTTAGTAGAGACGGGGTTTCACCGTGTTAGCCAGGAAGGTCTCGATCTCCTGACCTCGTGATCCGCCCGTCTCGGCCTCCCAAAGTGCTGGGATTACAGGCTTGAGCCACCGCGCCCGGTCTTTCATTTTTGACGTTGATGCTCCAATTGTCCCAGGGTTGGCCAGTGGGAGACTTGCAGGCTGGTTCCTGTGTCTTTCCAGGTGTTCTCATCTTTTTTTTTTTTTTTTTTTTAAGCACTTCCTTACTTTCTGACCTCAAAATATGCCCGGATGCCTCTTGTACATTCGCTGTCCCCTCGCCCCTGGAATCAGCTATTATTCAAAGGACAATCGCGGGCGCTTCTGATGCCTGGTGGCCGACCCCTCACCTCCGAATGACCCCCTCAGACTCTTGATTTCAATGCAGCCAGTCGGCCAATGGCAGAGGCGATGCTCCAGCGGTTTCCATGGAGACCGCCAGGCCGCAGAGCGGAAGGAGGCGGTGACGTCACTGCGGGAGCAAGTGCAGCGGCCACATCCTCGTCCTAGTCCGGCCACAGGGCACTGAGGGCAACCTCTGGGCCAGCGGTGAGGGACGAGCCTCCCTGCCTGCAGGCCCCCCCACCCAGGACACTCCGTTGGCCATTGTCCCAGGGAGATCAGCAGTCCCAGATCCGGAGAGACCGTTGGGGCCTGCGAGACCTTCGGAGGCCACGCCAAGAAAGGGGAAGCATCATCTTGAGACCCTCCTTGGTGCAGCCTTGCCCAGGACCCGGGAGCCACGAGTCAGGTGGCAAATACCGCCTTCTGCTTCTCCAGCAGTCCCTGGGAATCTTGGAGCCACTCAGAGGGAGCCACAGAAGCCCCGAAGTTGCACAGCCCTGCAGGCAGGGGCTGGGGGCATCCTTCGCTGAGCTGGACGAAGGGGTCCTGGGGAGCGACTTCCGGCCCCTGAGGCCTCACTGTCTCGTAGCCTTTGGGAAGGAATCGCGGCATCCTGGATAATTTCGCGGATTCCCGAGGCAGCTCAGGTGTCCACCAGCGGGCATACTGCTGCCTCAAAGAGTTGGGCAAGATGCTGTTTGGGGTGAAGGACATTGCACTGTTGGAGCACGGGTGCAAGGCCCTGGAAGTGGACAGTTACAAGTCCCTGATGATCCTGGGGATCCCAGAGGACTGCAACCACGAGGAATTCGAAGAGATTATTCGGCTGCCCCTCAAACCTCTAGGCAAGTTCGAAGTGGCTGGGAAGGCCTATCTGGAAGAGGATAAATCCAAGGCGGCCATCATTCAGCTGACGGAGGACATCAATTATGCCGTGGTCCCCAGGGAGATCAAGGGCAAGGGCGGTGTGTGGAGAGTGGTCTACATGCCCCGGAAGCAGGACATCGAATTCCTGACCAAGCTGAACCTCTTTCTGCAGAGCGAGGGCAGGACGGTGGAGGATATGGCCCGGGTCCTGAGGCAGGAACTGTGTCCCCCAGCAACGGGCCCCAGAGAGCTGCCTGCAAGAAAGTGCTGTGTGCCTGGGCTGGGGGAGAAGCCGGAGGCTGGGGCCACCGTCCGGATGGACGCGGTGCCACCTCTGAACTCCTCCGAGAAGGAGAGCAAAGCTGGAGATGGCAAGAGGGGCAAAAGGAAGAACAAGAAAAACCGCCGGCGACATCACGCCTCAGACAAGAAGCTGTGAGGTGGTGGCATCGGGTGGGCATGGGGGGTATCTGAGGGGGTGATGACTGTGGGAGGGTAGATACCACCTGAGTAGGTTTAAGGAGTGCGAGTGAGTGTGGGTAATGCAAGGGAGTGTGAGAATGACTCTAGTGAGTAGGTAACTTTTGAGTAAGAATGGGTATCATTTGGATAGCACAGGTAACATGTGACTAGCGCGAAAGAGGTGGCTATTTTTATCTGAGTTAACTAACTTGTGGGTTACATCTGAGTGGGTGTGGCTAACGTCTGGGTACCCGTGGCTCATTTATTCATCCTACAGATATTTATTGCATACCTACTAGGTCCCAGGTACTGTTCTAGGAGTTGAGGATACGGAAGGGAGTAAACTCAATAAAAATCCCTGCTTTCATGGCACTCAGAATAAGTGGGTAATATTTGAATTACTTGGAGACATCGGAGTGAGCGTAGGTAGCATTTGAGTACATGTGGATAACAGCTGAATGATCATAAAATCTAGTTAAGTGTGGATCGCTCATTCATCCGTGTATCCATGCAACCAACAAAATTTCCAGAGGACCTACAGTGTGCCAGACACTGGGAATACAGAAGGGGAATAAACAGACCAAAACCTTGCCCGTGACTCTCATAGTAGCTATTTGAATAGGTGCGGGTAACTTTGGGTTACTTGAATACACATTAGTGAGTGTGGATAGCATTAGTGTGTGTGGGTAGCATCCGCGTATAATTGAAAGTAGTTGTGGGTAATTGAGAGTGTGCGGGTAACACCTGAGTATGTGTATGGGTATCATTTGAGTAGATGAGAGTAATTTCTAAGTGAGGAAGGGTCTCAAAGACCCACAAACATCTTCTGCCACCCGGGAGACCCCGCGGGACCAGCCGCGCAGGCGCAGTCGGAGCCAGAGCCTAGCAGCGCGTCCGATCGTTGCTATGGAGACCACAGGCTGCCCCCAGGCGCCTGCGCCCTTTGCACAAAATGGAGGAGGGGGAAACGGTCCCGGATTCCAAGGTTTTGCAGATCTCTTACTACAGTTGAAGAAAACCCACGCAGATCCAGGAGGAACGTGTCAGGGAGATCCCTACTCGGGAGAAGACCGCCATCCTCCTTCGGCTGTCACCCGCGGCCTGATTCTGGGGACAGCCTCTCTTGCTGGGGGGAGGCGGGCGGCACAGACCCCTCTAGCTTTGCGCCCTCCTGGAAATCCTGTTATAGCAAAGTCTAGAGCCGTTTTCTGTGTTTCAAAAGCATGTACCTTGAATGTACCTCTGGCACAAACTTGTCCGGAGTGGGCCACCCTGTCAAGCAGAAACCATGGTTGAGAGTGAGTTGCCTGCTCCCCACCTCTGAGGAATTCACTGATCTGTAAGTGGCTGTTGAAAAGCTGTCGCCTTTCTCTACACGCTGAGTCTCTCTTACAGAAGTGGTCAGAAGCGGGACCCTTCTGCCCCGATTGGCGCCTGGGGTGAGGGTGTGAGTCTCCCCCAGTTAAATTCCAGAAGCTCTGGCTTGGTGAGGAGTGAACTCCACTCTCTACAGAAGAGGCAAGGCTTCTGGGCAATGGTCCAAAAGGAGGTAAATAATTAAGAGGCCATTTTCAAGAGTTACCAATGAATGACGTTAACACTGAAGTGAAGAAGAATTTTAAAATTCAGGTAAAATCCAAATACTTGTGAGTAGGCAGGTCTTTTGCTCAGAGACAAGGGACCTCTCAGTTTGCAAACTTCTGTTAGTCCAAGGATCTGCAAAGGTTTGAACGGAATCTCTTTTCAAAAATGTAACTTACACACAGACTCAGCCTACGAAATTGTAATGCCGGAGACTCCCAATGTCTTATTATTATTATTTATTATTATTATTATTATTATTATTTTGAGACAGTCTTGCTCTGTCACCAGGCTGGAGTACAGAGGTACGATCTCAGCTCACTGCAACCTCTGACTCCCTGGTTCAAGCGATTCTCCTGCCTCAGTCTCCCTAGTAGCTGAGATTACAGGCACATACCACCACGCCCAGCTAATTTTGTATTTTTAGTAGAGACGGGGTTTCACCATGTTTACCAGGATGGTCTCAATCTCCTGACCTCATGATCCGCCCGCCTTGGCCTCCCAAAGTGCTGGGATTACAGGCATGAGCCACCGTGCCCAACCAAGACTCCTAATGTCTTATTGTGGTGGACGTTAGTCATGTCTTTGACTTCCAGCATTTAACATTCTTTCTTTCTTTCGTTTTTCTTTTTCTTTTTCTCTTTTTCTTGAGATAGTCTCGCTCTGTCACCCAGGCTGGAGTGCACTGGTATAATCCCAGCTCACTGCAACCTCCGCCTCCTAGCCTTAAGCGATTCTCCTTCGTCAGCCTCCCAAGTAGCTGAAATTACAGGTGCCTGCCACCACACCCGGCTAATTTTTGTATATTTTTTTAGAGATGGGATTTCACCATGTTGGTCAGGCTGGTCTCAAACTCCCGACCTCAAGTGATTTGCCTGCCTCGGCCTCCCAAAGTGCTGAGATTACAGGCATAAACCACTGTGCCTGGCCTCAACCCCCTTTCTTATTTCTGGGAAGCCACCCCTATTTCACCCCCTTATCAAAGCCAAAAAATGGATGTTCTGTCTCTATACCCCTACCCTGGCGCCCAGGGTGCAGATAAGAGACCCCCTCCCAAGCAGGCAGAAACTCCTATTAGATTCTTGCATTCCCAGCAAGTGCCAAGAAACAGAAGGAAATTTTAGAATTCACTTGATTGACATAACCTAAAACCTTGAAGACTGATTTTTGCCCCTTTCCCAAGCTGGCTGTCTAGCCTCAGATCACCATCCTTTTCTCTTATGCAGTGGTTGGGATACACCTTTTCCTGCCATCTCCACACACATATGTGAACTTCTTGCAAATCCATAGTCAAGAAGTGTAGCTCTCTGTTGACTGTTTTTTTTTTTTTGGAAACAGAGTCTTGCTTGGTTGCCCGGGTTGAAGTGCAGTGCCACAGTCTCAGCTCACTGCAACCTCCGCCTCCCTGGTTCAAGTGATTCTCCAGCCTCAGCCCCCTGAGTGGCTGTGATTACAGACATTTGCCACCATACCCAGCTAATTTTTGTATTTTTAGTAGAGATGGAGTTTCACTATGTTGTCCAGGCTGGTCTTGAACTCCTGACCTCAAGTGATCCACCCACCTCGGCTTCCCAAAGTGCTGGGATTACAGGTGTGAATCACTGTGCCCAGCTTCTCTGATGATTCTTTTTTTTCTTTTCCTTTTTTTTTTTTTTTTTTTTTTTTTTTTGAGATGGAGTCTCCCTCTGTAGCCCAGGCTGGAGTGCAGTGGCACGATCTTGGCTCACTGCAACCTCCGCTTCCCGGGTTCAAGTGATTCTCCTGCCTCAGCCTCCTGAGTAACCGGGACTACAGGCGCCCGCCACCATACTCGGCTAATTTTTGTATTTTTAGTAGAGACGGGGTTTCACCATGTTAGCCAGGATGGTCTCGATCTCCTGACCTCATGATTTGCCCACCTTGGCCTCCCAAAGTGCTGCGATTACAGGCATGAGCCACCGTACCTGGCCTGATCTTTCTATTCCTTGTAAATGCCCGGCCTGGGTATACCCACTCGCAGAATATCGTACTACTGTGTTTGTTGTTGCATCCCAGAGTCCCAGCTTGAATAAATGCTACGAAAGCCTCCAGCATGTTTGCTGAATGCTGCTCTCCCATCAAGGCATATTCGTTGTACAATAAGGGATGGTGTGACATTTCTTACCATATTGCAGCACGAAGACTGTGCTTGTTGTGGATTTTGTGCTTGTTGTGGATTTCAGGGGTATAACATTTATATTTGTAATACACAATGTGTGTGGTTGTTCAATGTGGCCCATGAAATCAAAATCCTACCACTTCTCTTTCAAGGTTTTCTGGACCAGTCAAAGTGTATCCTGGGACTCCAATGCAAGTTGTCATGTAAAACTGTCACCATTTGAAGCTACTTAGCTGAGTCAATACATCACTGGTAGGGCAAATTCCAAGCAAAAATTCACAGGTAAATTGAATGTGCTGGCTGTTGGAGGGCTGCATCTGGCTTCTGTAAACCCCTGATTTCAAAAAGGGGTTCAGCTAAAACTCTTCATTGTTCTTTGTGATTGAGATGCTCTTTTATACAAATATGAACTCATAAAATAAATGTATGCTAATGAAATCACAGTCTGCTCCTTGACTTATGGGGGGGAAATTCATGTAAAATTTAAGTTGGAAAAATGATGTGGCTGCTAAAACAAGTACTGAAAATTGCTTCCATGGCCTGAAGTCTTCCGGGACTGCATTTATTTTTATTTTTATTTATTTATTTTTGAGACAGTCTCTCTCTGTTGCCCATGCTGGAGGGCAGTGGTGTGATCTTGGCTCACTGCAACCTCCGCCTCCCGGGTTCAAGTGATTATCCCGCCTCAGCCTCCTGAGTAGCTGGGACTACAGGCGCCCACTACCATGCCCGGCTAATTTTTTTGTTTTTAGTAGAGATGGGGTTTCGCCATGTGGACCAGACTGGTCTCGAACTACTGACCTCAAGTGATCCACCTGCCTCGGCCTCCCAATATGCTGGGATTACAGGAGTGAGCCACTGTGCCTGGCCCTGCATTACTTTGAGAAGGGCTGTTATTGATATTAATGGCCAAACAGGCACAAGACACAGCTTTCCTTGTTTTTTGTTTTTTTTTTTTTTTTTTTTTTTTGAGACGGAGTCTTGCTCTGTCGCCCAAGCTGGAGTGCAGTGGCATGATCTCGACTCACTGCAAGCTCCGCCTCCCGGGTTCACGCCATTCTCTTACCTCAGCCTCCCGAGTAGCTGGGACTACAGGCGCCCGCCACCATGCCCAGCTAATTGTTTTTTGGTATTTTTTAGTAGAGACAGGGTTTCACCGTGTTAGCCAGGATGGTCTCAATCTCCTGACCTCGTGATCCGCCCACCTTGGCTTCCCAAAGTGTTGGGATTACAGGCGTGAGCCACCGCGTCCAGCCAAAACACAGTTATCTTTTATCCTAGGAGCTTCTCAGGATGTCAGGCCGTTTTCCAGTGGTTGGTGTGAAAGATGAAACAATTTAACTGAAATAAAAACAGTAACGGCTATCTTGTGTTCCAGGCACTATGCCACATTCCTTCATATCATTAGCCTACCATACCCTGCCAACCCTGTGAGGTATGGCCCTATAGGTCCACAATCTCTTATAAAAACCCTCAGCCAGATGTGGTTTCAGGGGTATATGTGGTTCCAAATTCAGAGTTTTGGATTTTAGAAAAATGATACAGTGACTATACCTTATATTGTAGAATTTACTCCCCAGAGGGATGCGGAAAGCCCTTATAATCCCATCAATACTTCTGTAGTGGGCTGGGTGCAGTGGTTCACACCTGTAATCCCAGTACTTTGGGAGGCCAAGGTGGGAGAATTGCTTGAGGCTAGGAGTTCAAAACCAGCCTGGGCAACACAGCAAGACCCCCATCTCTACAAAAACTAAAACAAAACAAAACAAATTAGGCATGGTGGCATGCACCTGTAGTCCCAGCTACACTGGAGGTTGAGGTGGAAGGATCACTTGAGGCCAGGAGGTCAAGGCTGCAGTGAACTGTGATTGCACCACTGCACTCCAGCCTGGACGACAGAGTGAGACCCCCCTACATCTCAAAAAACAACAACAACAACAACAACAGATAAGAGATTAGATGATCAACCTGTACTATTATTAAGATCATCATTTTATTCTATGGATGAAGAAAGTAAAGCTCAGAGAGGCTAAGTAACTTGTCTAAGGCTACAGAGCATAGCACAATAGGAATTGAAAATAGGCCTCTGACCACATTCTGTGCTCCTAACACTGATCGGGATCTCTCTCTGGCTGGGAGGCCCCAGCTGATATCGGAGTCATAGAGCATGGTGTCTCTGGTAATGGCTGGGCGGAGATTCTTCAGGATACCTTGGGAAATGAGCCAGAGGTGGGTGGCACTCTGAGGGCCTGTTTGAAACTGCAGTGAACACTCTGGTTTTAAGTGGGGGCTTAGAGCAGAGAATAATCTTCGCGCTTATTGAATACTTCATATGTACCAGGCACTATTCTAAGCATTTTACACAAACAATAAATTTAATAATCACAAGACTCAACACCATGAGACTGATACAATCTCATTCTCCAGATTTGGAAAATGAGGCACAGAGCTACACAATTTAAACAGAGCCAGGATGTGAACCGGGCTTGAGTCTACAAACAGCTAGACCACACTGCCTTTTCTCTTCCTTTCCTTTCCTTTCCTTTCCTTTCCTTTCCTTTCCTTTTTCCTTTCCTCTTTCCTTTCCTTTACCTTCCCTTCCTTTCCCCTCCCCTCCCCTCCCCTCCCCTTCCCTCCCCTTCCTGTCCTTTCCTTTCAGATGGAGACTCGCTCTGTGGCCCAGGCTGTAGTGCCATGGCATGATCTTGGCTCACTGCAACCTCCGCTTCCCAGGTTCAAGTGATTCTCCTGCCTCAGCCTCCCAAGTAGCTGGGACTGCAGGCGCGTGCCACCATGCCCGTCTAAGTTTTCATTTTTTTTTTTTTTTTCAGTAGAGATGGGGTTTCACCTTGTTAGCCAGAATGGTCTCCATCTCCTGACCTCGTGATCCGCCTGCCTTGGCCTCCAAAAGCGCTGGGATTACAGGTGTGAGCCACCACACGCGGCCCACACTACCTTTTCTAATGTCTTGAGCATTTACCATCCCCAGGCTCTGTGCTAATACCTCTCATGGTCTCATGAACTGCTCACAACCTCTCCATGGGGTTAAGTCTCATTACAACTGCCATTTGCCAGAGAAGGAAACCAAGGCTCAGAGAGGTGAAGAAACTCACCCAAAGTCACACAACCACGGAGTGATAGAACCAGAATTTGAACCCAGGCAGCCTAGCTCCAGAGCC